AGAATGAATAAAATACAAATGTGACATAGACATAATATAATCTTATGAGTTTTGAGTTTTTAGATAGGTCTCGTGAAAAGGTGAATACAAAATTAGTATCAACCTGATTCGCTAACTCGTTGGTTCGATTTACGCGGGTTGTGGTGTTACACTCGTGATGGTAATAAACCACCGAGTTGGCCGACCGTGGGGTGGGTGAGTTTAATAAGCAAGAAAAGGTAAGTAAATAGAAAGAGAGAAAGTGCAAAAGTAGGAGTATTATTAGCTTGATCTTGAATCCGTTATAATGTTGCACCCCAAGGCTATTTATAGCCTCCGTAGTCCGTACTGTTACAACGGTAATAATCGTGATTGACACTTGTTTGTCATTTAGTCTTTGTCGTCGCCTCTCGTGTTATTTGGCTTCTCGCAAGACTCCCTTGTCGTCTAGTCTTTGTTTCTAGTGATCGGAGGAGGTATGCCAGACATCCAATCGTCTTTTGGTACGTCCACGTGGTGGGGTGGACTCAGGCATAGATCTTCCTCGGATCGAGCAGAGCAGCTATTTTTGGTATGACCGAGCCGAGCTCACCCGGTCGAGCCGAGTCCACCAGAGTGAGCTCTCATGACCGAGTCAAGCCTGTGGGACCCATTTGGGCTTACTTGGGCGGTGGGGTGCGTTCTTGGGGCCTGATACCAGCGTGACACGGGATTGCCTTCCGTCATAAGCCCCCCACTCTCCGAGTTCCTTGACGATTGGAGGGGGAACGTACGAGAGTAAAAACTGCAGGGCTCCTAGGCGCTTGGCCCCACGTGCTGATGCACTTCAAAGGTATGTCAATGTTTGGCATTCCCGAAGCGACTCGTGTGCTGGTGTTTCATTTCCCCAAACTGCCACGTCACTACTCATCATCACGCCGACCCAATTTATTCCTTCGGCCCATCACCCATCAAATATAAATATCAACCCTGCGTCCTTCATTTCTCACTCTTAGAGAGAAAGTGATCAGCATTTGTCATCGTGCCATTGTCTTTTTGCCTTCGTTCTCCTACCGTCCAACGAACCAAATTCCGGTCACTCCCTTACTCTAGGTTAGTTTCTTCGTCTTCGCCTCTCCGATGTTTGTCGAGTCCTTAACTATGCGTCAGGCAGAGACCGAGGACCGGCATGATCGTGGCAGTAATAACCCTGTCCCTCGGGGTGACCAAGGGGATCAACCGAGCTCGCCATCTCTTGAAGAGACAGAGGCGGTTGAGGTCCCTCAGACCATTGAGCCCCGTTTTCAAAAGCGGATGGCGCTGCTTGACTTGCTCATCCGCATGTAAAAGTGCGACTTGATGGATGATGAGTATAGCGAGGGTGTGTGTTTAGCCGGCTCCTATGTCATCGTACGCCGTCCCCCCGAAGACTTCATCTTTGATGCTCCTCCAGGTTTCTATCACCAGCAGGTTCAGAACTATTTTTAATTGAAGCTGAACCAGATGAAGACATTTTCTGCCAATTTTTTGGCTATTTTTTTCCTCTTCCAATTTTTTTGGCTATTTAAAATTAGGATAATTGATATTTTTTGTGAATATTTTTAACATCAATACATGTATCTCACAGTGAAATGATTAAAACAAACAAAATAAAAATAAATTTTCCGCACTTGCACCCTACATTTTGGAAAATTTCCACACCCGCACCTGTGCTTCATAGGCCGGCTCCATTCTTCACATACCAAATGAGCTAATATAATCTTAGCTATGTGCAAGTACTCAAATGAGTGCCTGATTTAAAGGAATGGGCAGTAAAAGAAAAAGTAGATCTCGTGATTGAGAAAGTATATAAAATCATGGAGAGACTATCATACATAGAAACACCTAGAGGTCGGAGCTCTCTAATGTTGCACATTCCTGCACGGTTTTTTGTACAGCTTTTTTTGCTAGGAGTTGTTTTAGTTTGGAAGATAATCCAATCTTGTGTTCTAAAAAACCATTCCAGATCAGCTCTGGTTCTGTGCTATTGCATCAGTGAATAACAACTGATATTCTTAGTCTACGAAATAATGCCAAATGCAAAAAGAGAATCCATTTAGCATTGTGTTGGTTTATATGCTCAGAATCCAGTACACATCTTGCATAAAGTCTACACATCTTGTTTAGAGTTGAACTCGTTTATTCTAAATTTATTCTATATTGTTCACAATATTTATTGCTTTGTTCTGCTTGATGATGATCAGAAAGTCAAGCCTTTTCTCTGATTATTTTACTACAATCATATACTTAGGGACTGTTTGGTGAGCCCAAGAGATAATGGGTTCTCATATCTCCAGGTATTAGAACCCTTTTGTGGGTGTTTGGTGAAATATAAAGATGGTTTGGATTTGATAGCAGTTATCACAACCATCCCAAACAGGATCATTTAATTTGGGATATCAATTTAGGGGTTTGATATCTTCTTCAACCACCGACCACCCCCCTTCAGTCACCGATGTTGCCATCCCTCGGCCACCTGTCACTAACAACCATCACTTCAAATTTTTCCAAGCACTTTTATTTTAGATTTTTGAACTCATATCGTCTCTTGCTTTCTTCTAGATTTCAGAATCTATACTATGTCAATCCTCCAAAACTTACCGAATGGGCCCTTAGTGTTCTTAACACACAATCAGAATCAATCAACTCTCAACAAAAAATAATATAAGTGCTAC